AAAAGAACTCTCTTTTCTGTGCTCAAAACAAACAATTTGCTCAGAAAAGAACTCTCTTTTCTGTGCTCAAAACTCTCCTTCAAGCTACCCCAAAAGTGAGCAATATGATCTAATAAACCCTAAACAAATCGTGTTCCTATTTATATAAAATAGGGAACCCAAACTGTGCAGGAAACCGAAGCAGGCCCAGACCCGACTCGCGGTCGACCGCCGAACCCATCGCGGTCAACCGGATCCAATGACCGAAACCAAAAAACACTACAAGGTTTTGTCGGTCAATCGTCGCGCCACTTACGGTCGACCGCGAAAAGTTCAGAGACTTTTTATATATAAGGTTAGGGTTAGGGCTTTAACGAAAATAAATTAAAATAAATAATTACCGATATTTAAAAATCAAAATAATTACAGAATAATTATCTATCTATCTACCCTTTAAAAGAGCCAGTTCCTGAAAAACTTTCCCATACCCAAATTAACCTTCAACCATCTTAAATATACCCACTTTCTCCCTTAAAATCGTTTCATTTAATTTGCCTTCAGAATCGAAAAATTCCACCTCCGTTACGCCTTCCTCTCCGCCGAAGCGGAAGAGATAATCGATTACCCTTCTCCGACGAAGCCGAAGCGTTACAGGAATTTGCAAAGATGTGTATTATTCATTGGTTACTCTTCTCCGTCGAAGCCGAAGCGTTTCAGAAATCTGCACAACTTTCTATTTCTTCAGAATTTCCGCATTCATCTCCAAAGATTTCTGCATTTGGGGATTTAGTAAGGTATTTCTTCTTCATCTTCACTCCTTTATTTATACAAAACCCTAACTCTATCTATCCCCTTTTAGTTATTCATTCCTCTCATTTTCTTCTAAAAATTGCCCTAATTTTCTATTTCCTACAGTTTCAAACGACAAGGGTTTACATATTGCAACAGCAGTTGGATCGACTTTAGAAAGTAAGTTGAGTTGAGTTGAGTTCTTTAAATTTTCAGATTTTGATTTTGGTTGTAATTTATTTCCTAAATTACTTCTGTTTTCAAGTTATAAATTCTTTTGTATCTTATATGTGTTTGGGAATTCATTTCTTGATATGGTGTTTGATATGAAAGCTCTGAAGGTGGGGAAATATGTGTTTTTTTTTATATTACACATTGAAAAATTTACGCATAAATGTGATAATTTATAGCCTTTTCAAATAATTAAGACAATGTTAAGGTTGCAGTCATGAGTCAGTTCTTGTTAATTAGGATAACTACGTACTGCCCAGGTCATGATATGGGTATCTTCATCTTAGTGCAACTCATGCATATTGGATATTGCTAATTGCTGATGTGATGTAATGGATAACTCCTGATTGTTCAAAGCTGAAAACGAATGGACAGTGCACAAAGCTGAAAACAAATGTGCTTGCCAACAAACAAAAGTAAAACTTTTGCCAGTAATAATCAAAATCAAATTCCGACATACCCCTGAATGGGCAGAGGAAGAAAGGACCAAAGAGAAGGAAATTTTGTTGTATCTCTTCAATTTTAAATTGCTATTGTTTCATAAATGTGTCTAAGGAAAATATTAGTGCTACCTGCATTACAGTAATGATTGCTAATATCATTTGACTTTCTGTCCATAGAAAGAAAAGTTTTTCCCCCCTTCCTGTTTGGTTATTTGTATTTACATCAGTTTACATTAGTATCTTATGACGAATGTAAGCAAAAATTCTCTATTAGGATTTCAATACAATAATAGTAGTTCCACCAGTTTCAATACAATTGTTTTTTATTTCATAATACAAAGAAAAATATAAACCAGAGGAGTCTCTATATATTTCCATATTTAATGAAGATGACAGATACTTAATCTAGGCAAAAGTGCACTCAATTATTATGAAAGTGTGAAAAGGGCAAGCAACTTTCCAAATTGAGTACGTTGTTGAAATTTGAAGCATGATTGTGTTGTTTTCTTTTTGGCATTTTTAGGATTGTCTAACGCAACACAAAGTCAGTGTTTGTTGAGCATTGAACACATTTTGCTACATTTTTCTTAATGAGATCAACACTTTGTCTACTTACTATGAGTTCCCTTTATTTGTTTGATTTGTAGACTCTTCTAGATTCAGTTGGACTGTCAATTTGGCAAATGAATGTAGAACCACTTGATGATTGACCACATTCTAAGAAAATTAACTCACATCAAATGGCCAGTGGAGATGCAAATGATCTTTACAGTGATTGTGAGTCTGGTTGTACTGATGATGATTATGATTTACATGAATCTCATACTGCATTTATTGGAAAAAACGAGCAGCGGGTAGCCGTTGCCTGTGATGATGGTTGTGTACGATTATATTACATGTCCGATACAAATGGACTAACTTATTATAGATCATTTCCTCGAGTCTTGCACCTCCTAACATGTATAATTTATGGATTCTCATGTCAGTTTGTAATCCATGAATTAGTGAAGACTAGAGGTCTAAATATGTGACTGTGACGGTCTAATCTCAGAATTTGGATGTTACATTATACCATGGTCTTCTTTCTCCCTTTTTTTCTGAACGTTACTTGTGCTGGCCTATGTCTCCGTCCATGTCAGTGTACCATAATCATGTCTGTGTCTCTGCTCCATAGGAGGCGAGTCATCTAGATTTTGCTTAAATTGTTTGAACTATACCTACTGTAGTTCTAGATATTGCTTAAATTGTTTGAACTATACCTACTGTAGTTTGGAGAATCAAGGCCTTAGTTACAATTTACAAAACTATACACTATTTCTGACATGGTTGGATTTTCTTAAATATCATTCACTTGGGATTTAGGTGCAGTAGAATGGTGATGAAACTTCACATGTGATGTAATGGATAAGTCCTTAGAGTACAAAGCTGAAAACAAATGGACAGTGCACAAAGCTGAAAACAAATGTGCTTGCCAACAAACAAAAGTAAACTTTTGCCAGTAATAATCAAAATCAAATTCCGACATACCCCTGAATGGGCAGAGTAAGAAAGGACCAAAGAGAAGGAAATTTTGTTGTATCTCTTCAATTTTAAATTGTTATTGTTTCATAAATGTGTCTAAGGAAAATATTAGTGCTACCTGCATTACAGTAATGATTGCTAATATCATTTGACTTTCTGTCCATACAAAGAAAAGTTTTTCCCCCCTTCCTGTTTGGTTATTTGTATTTACATCAGTCTATATTAGTATCTTATGACGAATATAAGCAAAAATTCTCTATTGGGATTTCAATTGATTAAAGCACGCAGGTATTCATGCAGGAAAAAATGAGGAAGAAGAACCTTAAATTGTAATGGCACAAATAAGTTAGATGTTTGCATGACACCAGAGAAATTGGATCTTTAAGTTTATAGTCTAAATTGTAATGGTAGAAATAACTTAATATTAATAGTAATTTCTTATCACGCGTGATTCCTCTGAGTTTTTCCTTCAAATTCAAAGGTTGCACTTGCAGGTAACAGCTGATCTCACCCCTCTCAATCCAACACAGGTGGTTGTCAAGTTCGATACCTTCAAAATTCTTGGTCTGGTTAGTGATAATTTTCCTCGTAATTTAATTATATTTACATTTGAGCACTCAGTAGTTATTAATACAGATCATTTTCTTCTTTTACATCTATTGTATTTTTATTTTTATTATCATTTTTTTTGTGATATAATAAGGCCAGAGTAAAGTCCAGAGTAAAGTCCTGAAAAAATAACTTACCTCTTTGTGCTTCGATAATATTCGAACATATACCTATAAAGGCACCGGATATCGCTCGCGGTGAATTGGAAATCACTTACTTAGATGAGGAGATCCGGTAAGGCACTTCCCCAATATTATGTAATGTTTTACTGCGGTGATAAACTTTTGACTGTGAGTATCGAAAAGAAAAGAAATACTTGTTCATTTTACTTGTGTCATGTCATATTTTAGTTTGATTAAAGTCGTCGCACTATATCTGTACTATATACTTAGACGAGGAGATCCGGTAAGTCACTTCCCCAATATTATGTAATGTTTTCTTCTTGTTTTCCAAGTGCGTAATATCAAGTAAATGTCTAAATCAAATAAAATGATTACTATTTAACGAAATAGCAAGAATTTTCCTTATCTTTACGAGAAAGACCTTTAGAAGTGCTCTGTCATCATTATTCACATAGCCCAATTGTTGGATGGAGATAATGACTTCGGGAATAGTATGTGATATTGAGGCTTGTAATGTTATTTCCCTCATCTGTGATGATGATTTTTAGTTTGTGATTCCTGTTTTGATTTATTTTATAATTTGGTATATCAATTCTGATTTCATCAATCTAATATTAAATAGTGCACATGCAAAGCAAAGCGAGATTGCATTTAATAATTTATTTTTATCTGATTCTGATTTGGTTCAGAATTAGAGAGGAGAACAAACCCTTGGATGATTGAAAATTATGCAACCATAGTTTCTATTTTTTAAGTTGATCCGTTCATAGTAGTTCCCTTGGATGATTGGAAACTATGAATTAATTACATCGCCGTTTCTTTGATTTGGTTTAGAATCGGATAAGAGAAAGATATGGGTTGTCTTTGATTTGGTTCTGGAATCGGAGAATCACAAATGATAGAGTTTAGTTATTTTTTTTTGTTGCGATTTCGGTTGTGATTTTTTTCCTAAATTAGGTATTAGGTATATCAATTCTGTTTTGATCAATCTAATATCAATTGCATAACCAATAGATTAAAGATATTAAAATGTTTTGTAATCATTACTTGAGAAAACATGTTCCTTGAGTAATTATGTATGTTGTGAAAACCTGTTGTGCAGTTCTCACGTAAATAATTTAACATTTATTTTAATTATATATGTTGTCTCTGAATAATTATGTATGTTTTGTCTCTGAGTAATTATATAAGTTTTGTAATACACTATTACGTGTAGATTAAATTATTTAACATTTTTTCATATTAATGCAGATATCCTACTTGGTTGGATTTGCGTTGTTTTTTTTTAAAACATTTCTGAAATTGACGGTGATTCAGGTTAGTTAAGCAACTTTCTTCTCTTTTCTCTTTATTTTGTTCATAGTGATGATAACTCTATTTCCTTGTATTTATCTTCTTCTACACTTAAATATTAATTATTATTATTATTATATGACTTAAAAAAAATTAACCTTAGCATATGAGATATTTGTGATTACTGATGCATGTATAGTTTACCAAATTTCTAAAAAAAACCTTAAGTACTATTGAACAACAAATAAAATATACTTATTCTCTCAAATTATATTCACTGCTATACTTATGTTAAATAAAATCAATAATTTAACGCATTAAATTTTTTTTCCTTGTAGAAATTTACATTCTACTTCTTGGATTGCATAATCACTATACATTTGCATAAGAGTACCTTCTTCCAAATGACTTCAAACCAAGGTTTGAATTCAACATAAATATATATTATTATTGCTTTATGTGTATTTGTGTTTATTAATAGTATATTTTATTATTTTTTAACAGAAGACCACATTCTAATACATGAGAGTAGAAACACCAAATATAATCAGTTGAATGTTGATCAGAAGAGAACTTACATTCAGAAGGTCATTGATAATAATATAAAGAGGAAAAGAAATGATTTAGCTGGCAGTAGTACCAATAGCAAGGGAAAACGTAAGATTGATTTGTTTTGTAGAGCGCAACAGCGAGAATATGAGAATGGAGGTTTGCATAGATTAATTTTATAATTTATTAAAATAATTACATGATTTTATATATCTAAATTTATTTAACACTAAAAACTATTATTTTTTTCTAGGTCAAATTACACATGAACCAGTATGTTCTTTATTACATAAACTACGGACTCCAATGTTTTGTTCATTTTGTGGAGCAAAAAAGTTTGAACATGAGCCACCAACATCTTGTTGTCACAATGGTGAAATCCACCTAGCAGATGTGAATGTTAATGACGAGTTATATACCCTTTATATGGTACAAACCCAAGAGGCAATTGAGTTTCGAAGACAAACCAAAAAGTATAATAGCATTTTCTCATTCACATCATTTGGGGCAAGGTTTGATAGAGAACTTGCATCAAACAGAAAGGGTATTTTCACATTTAGAGCACAAGGACAAATATATCATAATCTCCCCTCTCTTATTCCAGAAGAAAATAAGCCTTCCTACTTTCAACTTTACTTTTACGATACGGAGAATGAGTTGCAAAATCGAATGGGAATATTAGATAATGCAAACATGAGTACGACTACAACTAAAAGATTGATGGATATATTAGAAGGAAACCCATATGCAAAATTTCTGCGGAAACTAAATGATTTTCCATCTCTTGAAGACTTCAAGATCATTATAAATAGAGATGCTGCAGTAGATCAACGTGTTTACAACTCGCCAACAGTGGATCAGGTTGCAGCTATCTGGGTAGAGGGAAATAATGATAATGTTCCGTATGAGAGAGAAATAGTTGTCCATTCACACTCTGGCAAGAATAATCAAGTTAGGCACTATTTTGGTTGTTATGATCCTTTACAGTATCATTTACTCTTTCCAGGCGGAGATGTAGGATGGCACCAAAATATTAAAAGAAGGGATAAAAATAATATTCGTCGGTCCAAACAAGTAAATACAACATCTCAAGTAACTCAGCAAACTTTTACATCTGCAGAAGATATATTTAAACGAGAAAGGGAAGATAAATCATAATCAAAATTGTTTAATAATATTAAAATATTAAAAATTAACTTAACCTGTAAACTTGTAGGTGTTAAAGCACCAAAGGCGGGAAGCGTCTCATGTCGAGAATATTATTGTTACAAGTTCCAGATAAGAGACACTCGACAATCTACAGTATTAACATCGGCAGGCCGTTTGTTCCATCAATATGCTGTTGATATGTACATAAAGCTTGAAACAACAAGACTTGATTATTTTAGAAAGAAACAATTAGAAATTAGAGCAGAGTTATTCCAAGGCATAGTCGATAGTGTAGCTGCTGGAGAAGCAAAAGCATGTCAAGTCGGAAAAAGAATAGTGCTGCCATCATCATTTATTGGTGGTCCTAGAGATATGCGTCGTAGATATCTTGATGCAATGTTATTAGTACAACGATTTGACAAACCAGATATTTTCATCATAATGACATGCAATCCTGAATGGGAAGAAATCACGGAGGAGCTACATCCAGGACAGACATATAATGATAGACCAGATCTAACCTCAAGGATATTTAGAGGAAAATTGCAAGACCTGAAAGATCAACTATTTAAAAAGAAAAATCTTTGGAAAAGTTGTTGCCCATGTTCATGTCATCGAGTTTCAAAAAAGAGGGTTGCCTCATGCACACATGTTGATTATTCTAATGGGAAAACACAAAATCATCTCATCAGATCATTATGATAAGTACGTATCAGCAGAAATTCCAAACCAATATGAAAATCCAATCCTATATGAATTGGTAAAAAAACATATGATGCATGGCCCTTGTGGAGAGTTAAATATGAAGAATGTTTGCATGCAAAATGGAGAGTGCAAATATCACTACCCTAGAGAGTTTTCTCCAAGATCACTACAAGCGAAAGATGCTTACCCAATTTATAAAAGGAGCAAAAATAACAGAACAATATTGGTTCGAAACAAAATCCTTAATAATCAATGGGTGGTACCTTATAATCCCTATTTGCTGACACGTTATAACTGTCACATCAATGTTGAAATATGCTCAGGCATAAAAGCAGTTAAATACCTTTATAAGTACATATATAAAGGACATAATAGAGTGGCAGTAAACATTGAATATAATGAAGGTGAAAAAGTTGTGAATGAAATCAAAAATTTTCAAGGTGCAAGATGGGTATCAGCTCAAGAAGCTTTTTGGAGAATATATGAATTCCATCTTAATGAGATATTCCCGGCTGTCATTAACTTACAATTTCACATGCCAAATCATCAATATGTTTCTTATTGGAAACATCAAGACCTATCTAAATTGATTCACTTGGAACATGTCTCCAAGACGATGCTTACAGAATTTTTTACTATGTGTAAAAAAATTCAAGACGATGCTTACAGAATTTTTTACTATGTGTAAAAAAATTAAAGAAGGTAACAAGAAGAAACATGAAGAAGACCATGAAAAGGAGTTATTATACTATGTGTAAAAAAATTAAAGAAGGTAACAAGAAGAAACATGAAGAAGACCATGAAAAGGAGTTATTATATGTGGAATTTCCTGAATGTTATGTTTGGGATTCAACAGCAAAATCTTGGAGTCCAAGAAAACAGAGACAAGTGATAGGTCGAATAAATGGGGCTAATCCAATTGAAGGAGAGAGATATTACTTGCGACTATTGCTTACTCACGTTAGGTGTCCGAAATCATTTGAAGATCTACTGATGGTAAATGATATTCATTGTAAATCTTTCAAGCAATCAGCTCAGAAATTAGGTCTTTTGGAATCTGATGATAGCATAAGAGAGTGCTTAGATGAAGCCATCGTCTTCCAAATGCCAACAGCACGTCAGCATTTGTTTGCCACTATATTGGTTCATTGTGAACCTACAGATGTTAATCATTTGTGGGATAAATATCTTGAATCATTATCTGAAGACTTCTCAAGGAAACCAAATGCTACTAGAGCTTCGGTGATAAATGATACTCTTCTCAATATTAACTTCTACTTAGAGAGTATGGGAAAGGATATTAAAAATTTTGATTTGCCACCTTTACAAGCAAAAAACATTACAGAGGAAGGTTCATACCCAAGAGAAATAAAATAAGAGCTAGATGTACAAATCTCAACTGATGATCTAAATGCTGCAACAAAACTCAGCTATGAACAACATACTGCATACACTACAATACTAACAAGAGTTGAAGCAAATAAAAGTGGAGTTTTCTTAACAACATACTGCATACACTACAATACTAACAAGAGTTGAAGCAAATAAAAGTGGAGTTTTCTTTATTGACGGTCCAGGAGGAACTGGGAAGACTTATTTTAAAAGTGGAGTTTTCTTTATTGACGGTCCAGGAGGAACTGGGAAGACTTATTTATATCGTGCTCTACTTACAACAGTAAGATCGCAAGGTATGATAGCTCTTGCTACAGCGACATCAGGTGTCGCAGCTATAATAATGCCTGGTGGAAGAACAGCACACTCCAGATTTAAAATCAAAATCCCAACAATAGATTCATCTATGTGTAGTATATCAAAGCAAGATGGGACATCAAAACTCCTTAGAATAGCTCGTCTAATAATTTGGGACGAGGCTGCTATGGCTAAACGCGTTGCAATTGAAACGTTGGATAGAACACTAAGAGATTTAATGGATCAAGATGAACCATTTGGCGGAAAAGTAATTGTATTTGGTGGTGATTTCAGACAAGTTTTACCAGTTGTGCCTCGCTCAACAAGATCACAAACTATCAAAGAAAGTTTAGTAAGCTCACATTTATGGAGAAAAATCATCAAACTATAACTTTCAAAAAATATGAGAGCAAAATCAGACACAACATTCAGTGAATTTCTTCTTAGGATTAGGAATGGAGATGAACCAACAGTGACACAGGATCTTATAAAACTGCCGAATGCAATATTGATCCAGAATCAAGGTGATGAGCTACCGGAAGATTCGCTCATAAATTCAATTTTTCCATCTTTAGACGAAAATTTCAAGTCTATTGACTATATGAAAGATAGAGCTATCCTTGCAACAAAAAATGAATATGTTGACATGTTAAATGATAGACTAATAAAAAGGTTTCCAGGAGAAGGAAAAGAATTCTATAGCTTTGATGAAGCAGTTGATGACACTAATCATCATTACCAAGAAGAATTTTTGAACACTCTGCTCCCTAATGGACTACCGCCGCATAAGCTAATGTTGAAAAAATATTGTCTAATTATTTTACTAAGGAACTTGGATCCAACTAATGGACTATGCAACGGTACAAGAATGATATGTCAAGATTTTAACTACAATGTAATTCAAGCTAAAATCACAATGGGCCAACATGCTGGGAAAGAAGTTTTCTTGCCAAGAATATCATTGTCATCAGCAGAAGATGAAGGATTACCATTCAAGTTCAAACGCAAACAATTTCCCATAAGATTATGTTTTGCAATGACAATTAATAAATCCCAAGGGCAAACAATACCTAACGTTGGTATTTATCTATCTGAACCAGTGTTCTCTCATGGGCAATTATATGTTGCTTTATCACGGGGTACTTCTATGATGACAACCAAGATCTTAATAACATCAGATGGAAAATTTGCAGAAGAGGAACAATACACAAAAAATATTGTATACAAGGAAGTTCTCCAGCCAAAGGACCACGAGGAATAATTCAAATGACCAATAACATTTTTAAAGGTTAGGAATTTATTATATATTAATAATTAATAAATTCAAATTACTATAATTAGTGTCACATCTTTGATATAGAATAGTCTCATTTAATTTTCTTTTGAGTTTATTTAGTACTTCAGATGTGTTGTTATTTATATTTATATATAACAAACTATTCAAAATCTTGCAGGAACAATGGCATCCACCAACGAAGCACAAATTCCACACATCCAAATACGCCAACTAAAAAAATTTCAAAGAGAGTGGACGATTCATGTTGTTATCCTAAGAACTATTAAGTCATCTTATGAGAACAACAAAGGATCAGGTAAACTACTAAAAATAATTTTGGCCGACTCAGAGGTAATGTAGCAATATTCTACATGCTATAATTCTATTGATATTTGTTAATACTTATTCTTAAATAAAGTAATACATACAATGTTTAAGTACAATATGCATCATTTTTTATCATGACATAACAATCGCTATTTTAAATCTATGCAGAGCATTCTCAATTTTTAAAAAATTTATATTATAAATTATAAATATAAATTAAATTATAATTGTTGATGCTTATTCTTATATTAAATATTTTCACCTTACTATGTATAAGATCATATAAAAAAATTCCAGCATTTATTAAAGAGGTAGGCAACATATAATTCATTTTCGCATATTTTATACAACAAATATCATGCTTTCTTCGTATTTCTACGTAAATTGATTGTCTACGTATGTCAAACAATATAAGCAAGCAAATAATTAGAATATGACATCAACACAAAATTGTATACACACTGCAACAAAATATTTATTATTTTGACCCGAAGATTATGGATATCTTTCAATAAAATCTAGAGAATGGTTATTTTAAAGTTTACCACATAAAACTACATTTATACATAACTTACGTCATCTATTACTTATCTCATTTATCTTAGGCTTAAATGAATGTTAATGTATTAGTTATTTGTGAGATAATATTAGTAATATTTGCAGGGGATACAAGGTATTATGTTTGGAGAAACTATTGAAATGTATAAGCACATGCTTCAGAAGAATCATTTTCTTTACATCTCAAATGGAGAAGTCAAACCAATAAACCCACTTTATGGAAATGTACATGAGTCAATTGAGTTGACATTGACTAAAAACATTTCTATCAAAGAATCAAATGCAAAGTTTCAATTTGATAAGATATTGAACAACTTTATCTCAATCAAAGAGGCAATTTCCAACGAGGATACAAGGAATATAAGTAAGTATTTCTAAACACCTTTTATTTTTAGTTTAAAAATTTATAAATGAATTTTCAACTTATTATAAATTTATGTGCAGATGTTCTAGCAATGATAGCAAATGTCAAGCCTATGATCAAGTACGTTACAAGATATAATAAGGCAGACACAATGCGGGACATCATTATAGTAGACAAAGAGTATACACGCTTGCTTTTATTTCATAATAAATTATTTATTCAAAATATAATATATTAACCTAAAATTGTGTAACTTTTCTTACACAGTGAGATAACATTGTCTGTAACTTTATTCGGAGATTTAGCTTGCAATGAAGGTTCAATGATTGAAGAAAATATGCATGAGCCAACTATAATAGCGCTATCAGATTTCAAAATATCATTGTACAAAGGTAACATTTTTAAAATGGAATTGTAAATTAATTATAAAAAATATCAAATTCTAATTATAACTATTATATATGCAGGGGAGATGTGCTTGACTTCGCAAATGGCATCAACAATATGTATCAACCCTGAAATACAACTTGCTAAGGACATGCGAGAATGGTAATTCAAATAAAAAAGGTAACTTAATAAGTTTACTTTTAAATATTTTTAAAATTATATGCAGGGCTCTTTCAAAAGACAAAATCAAGACTAATGGTGCTCCATCAATGCTATTTAAAAATGCAACGAAAATGAATATTGTTGATATTATGCAAGCTTCACAAGACTCATCAAAGGTATGACATTAAAAATCCTACTATAAAATATTAATGAATCAATAGCTTCATTTTTATAAAAAACTAATATAAATAAATATTGTTTCATTGATGTTTCAAATACATTTATAATTATTACTTTTATATTAATTTTTAAAAAATTCATTTTTGACTATATTTTTTCCAAAATTTTTATAATTTATAATAATTTCTAATTTTATTTAATAAATATATGTAAACTACGATTATAACTAACTAATTTTTTTCAAATGTACAGGCACAATATGGCAGCTTTATTGGAAAAATAAGTAGTATCTTAAATAGACATGAGGCTTGGTACTACTCATGTACAGACTGCAATAAAAAAGTAGACAAAACTATTTATGACAAATGTCAAAATTGTCAAAAAAACAATGAAGATAGTATACCAAGGTAAAGTACTATCAATTACTCATGAAAGAAAAATATAAAGATTAAATATATAAATATCATCTGATACACAATGATAATACAAAATGTAGATATGTTGTTAAAATCATTGTGGAAGACGAAACAGACACTGCAAGAGTCACACTTTTTGACGCAGCACAAACATTGATAGGATGCGATGCTAAAAAATTCATGGATGATATAAAAGAGGTAACTTCTTACTTTATTATATTTTACACATATAAAACAATATATTTCATGTATAAGATCTTAATTTTTTTCTCATTAAAACAGAATTATATTTTACACATATAAAACAATATATTTCATGTATAAGATCTTAATTTTTTTCTCATTAAAACAGAAAAAAAATCAGAGTTCATTGTTTCAAAAGTTTGTTCTCAACATCGGAAAGACATACAAGTTCCTTGTAAAGTTGGATGAGAAGTCAAAGGATGAACGTGCACAAGGAAAGATAATAGCACAAGAAATCCAAATCCAAGAAGACATCACAATCAACATTGATGATGATGATTCATTTCTCGATTTACCAAAAAAGAAGATAAAGGTGGAGGAGGATTGATCAAGGACCCACAAAAATTAAACATGAATGAATTTTAATTTTAATTACATTTACAAATTGGTTAAAGGATTTTACATGTGCTTTTCATAAGCTTTTAAGTTTATTAATTGATGAATTAAATTTGTTAGGCCAATTTATGATTTATACGCATATGCTCATATAGTTGTTTGATAACTATTGCATGCTTTGATTGTTATTGCAGTTATTTACTTTAATTCAACATTCTATTATGTGAATCTAAATACATATTCATAGAATAGTTCACTTTATTAATTTAATTTTGTATGTCAAGTATTTTTTACTTATCTATATTGCACAAAAAATATTGTCGATGAGTCGTTCGCAATAAAAATGATGACCAAGCACAGCTTCCTGAACCTGTTGAGAGAAAACAATAGCTTTCTATAGAGAAGGTATTTTATATATTAATCTGTGTGTTTTAGTTATGCTCATAAGCTTTTCTTTTGTCTTGTCTTTATAGTTTCATGTTATTTTGGGTTTCAGATTTTTGTTTGATCAATGAAAACTGGGCGTCTATTAGATATTCTTAGCGGTCATGGAGGACCAGCTCATGGTTTTATGTTTTCTCCTACAAATGTAAGTAAACTCCCTTTCTTTCTTTTTGTTGTTTAGAAAGATAAAATTGCATGTAAAATATCATTTCATATTGTACTATTCTTATTTAGCTAATTTTATTTATCTTTTGCTTAGATATATAATTCATGGTTTGGTATTTTTAATGCATATTATACAAACCTACTGTTTCCTTATCTCACATTTGTATCTATCTACCCTTTAAAAGAGCCAGTTCCTAAAAAACTTTACCCTTCCCAAATTAACCTTCAACCATTTTAAATATACCTAATTTCTCCTTTTAATAAGCGTTATAGAAATTTAATTTCGTCATCAGCATCGGAAATTTCCCACTTCGGTTACGCCTTCCTCTTCGCCGAAGCCGAAGAGTTCATCGGTTATCCTTCTCCGTCGAAGCTGAAGCGTTACAGAAATTTGCAAAGATGAGTATTTCTTTAGAATTTTTGCTTTAATCTCCACAGTTTTCAGATTTTGGTCATTCAGTAAGTTATTTCTTCTTCGTCTTCACTGGCTATAAAGAAGGTATTACAAGATAAGAGATACAAGACCAGAGAGCTTCAGTTGATGCGCTCGATGGATCATCCAAATGTTGTTTCTTTGAAGCATAGTTTTTCCTCGACCACCAGTATAGATGATCTTTTCCTCAACCTGGTTATGGAGTACATGCCTGAATCCTTGTACCGGGTACTCAAGCATTATAGCGGTATTAACCAGAGGATGCCACTTATATTTGTTAAGCTCTACACATATCAGGTATACATTTTACTTCTCTTATGCTGTGTTGATTGTGGTTTCATGTTGTGAAGTGCTTAATTTGTTTGATAAGTTCTACAGATTTTTAGAGGGTTGGCTTATATTCGTAACGTTCCAGGAGTTTGTCATAGAGATGTGAAGCCACAAAATGTTTTGGTATGCTTTTGAAGCTTCTTATCTGATTAACCTGCATTATGAAATTTGTTCTTCTTTTGTCTGTAACCTTCTTTTGTTAATTGATTATTCTGTAGGTCGACCCTCTTACTCACCAAGTGAAGATTTGTGATTTTGGGAGTGATAAAATTTTGGCATGTTGTAAGCTAACAATTATAACAGTACGTCGCTGACAAACTTCTTCTATTTGGATATTAGCAAAAAATTTATTTATATTGTGACATTTTGCCTGGTATAGCATGTGAGAGTTTGTGCTTGCGTTAGCTAAATAATGATGTTTATAAGGTTGTCATTTTTCTTAATGCTGAATTTTACTCTTTGCTTGTTGACATGATTGGATTAGATTTAGTTGGTGTGATGGGTTTCACATATATTAATAATTTAATATTCATAGTTTAAGTATTATTAAAAAGGTAAACTTATATGAGCTACAAATTAGATATGCTGAGCAGTGTAATGGCTTATTCCTGTGAAGAAACGAACAAACAATATGCATATTGACCTAAATCAGTGATGCGGATCAAGTTATTGTCTTGATATTCAGCTCAATGAGTCTTCTGTCTTTAAGCACTACTTTTGAGTTAAAGGCAGGAACCAACATCACCTTGTATGTTTGGGTACATCATGATGTGCTTTTCAAGACATCAAATTAAGGCTTTAGTGAGCACAGTGGCACACACATGAGTTTGCTTAGAAAGACTGGCAGATAATGGACATAGTTTGGCGATAATATTGGAAATGGACGAGAGATTCCCAATTTACAGTCATTAACAGTTTTTTAGATTAGTAGGTAAATATTCAATCTCAAAGTCATCAGATGAAAAAAAAAGTATGAAGTTGGCATCTTACTGGAATAAGATGCTGACCTTTTATCAAAAGGTGGAGGCGGATTTTGCAATTTCTGATATAATATGTAATGAGGAGTTTAGGGATTTGGCTGAGTATTGCTTAGTCAGATGCCTTGTCTTGCTCTTGGCATATAGTGAAGAAGATAATTCGGATTTTACATAAAGTTGCAGGCATAAGGACACAGTCATAACCATCAATATGGCTTTTAGATATGTGTTTTGTGAATTAGGTATAGTTTAGGCTTTGTGTTGGCTTAATCATCTTTGAAATATTTTCCTATTCCTATCTGTGTCAACTAGGTCTGAGTGCCTATGATTCTATGTGTTTTTGAAATGATATAATGTGAATTAATGTGAATGAACCTTGAAGAATGAAACAGATGAAAAAAAGGTCAGTAAAAAGTATCATAAAACTAGATATTTCTGTTTGTTTCATTGATGGAATAGGCATCAATTGCTAGCTTCACCAGATATTGTTATGTTTCTTTGTATTTAGTTTGTTTCATTGATGGAATAGGCATCAATTGCTAGCTTCACCAGATATTGTTATGTTTCTTTGTATTTCTTGAAGATATTTCTATTTTTGCTGGTAAATTGCTAGCTTCACCAGATATTGTTATGTTTCTTTGTATTTCTTGAAGATATTTCTATTTTTGCTGGTAACATCTTTCTCTAATTTCTTTTTTATTGGATCGTTTCTTTGACAGTTTTGAGTTGCATATTTCTGGAAATTCATCTTTATTTCTTTTGTCACAATTTCATTGAGTTGCATATTTCTGGAAATTCATCTTTATTTCTTTTGTCACAATTTCATTTTCAAAGAGTTGTATTATATTATCAGGTTAAGGGCGAAGCAAACATATCTTACATTTGTTCATGGTATTATCGTGCTAATATTATCAGGTTAAGGGCGAAGCAAACATATCTTACATTTGTTCATGGTATTATCGTGCTACTGAACTCATATTTGGCGCAACAGAATACAGTACTTCAATTGACATATGGTCAGCAGGTTGTGTCCTTGCGGAGTTACTCCTTGGCCAGGTCTGTCATCTTTCTAATGTTCCTGAAAATGACATTTGTACAATACTTATATATAAGAACCTAAGAGCCTATAACATTTGAATTGAACTACTTAAATACAGAGATTTTTACCTGTTCTTTTATATTTCAACCACTATTTCCTGGAGCAAGTGTTGTTGATCATCTTCTTGAGATAATCAATGTACAGTTTCAAGTGAGGATCTTTAGGTTTAACTAAATATGACAATGTGGTCATTTCTTGTAGGTTCTTGGTACTCCAACTCGCGAGGAAATTCGATGCATGAAAACTAACTACACAGATTTAGCTATTCAAAGATTAAATCTCATCCATGACATAAGGTTAGGACTTCATAGATCTTGATCATTTATGATCGGCGTTGTTATTTTCTGGTTTTGAAAGAAAACTACTGTGCCAAGTGATAAAACTCCTTGCCTCTGAATTTGATAAACTTGCATTTTGACATTTATTAGGCTTCATCAAGTTCTAAATCATGCTACTAATCAACACAACCCCATATGCACTCAAAAACCATTGTGACCCATATAATTTTACATGGTCCCTATCTTATTTAATACTTCACTTGAGATTTATTGCATCTTGCTATATTTCATTGGTAGTTATTAGTTGTTGACGTTTATTTGTTCTTTTAACCAGTGTCAACATGACGAGCACGAGGAATTTTTTTTGGAGATAAGAGCAGCAATTGAAGCAAAATACCAGCACCTTTATGAACTATTATACACAAAGGTACTACATTTCCTCATGGTTGCATGGTGATAGAATAATTTACATTACCACTATATTTCTTTATTTGGAATCATTATTTAATGCTTTATGAAGTTCCAAGTATTAGCTTCTTGCATTATTTCTCTGAATGCTTGGCTGCTAAAGCATTGGACAACCAAGATATTTTATAATCACAAAATATCAATATCCGTGGCCTTCTCTTAATTTATTCTTTCACTGAATCAATGAAAATTTATTTTAACCCTTCATTTATATGTGTATAGATACTCCATTTGGTTTTTTTGTTACCTCTCCTATTGTTGATGTTTGTTTGCTGGCAGGGGTTTTTCTACGATGAGAGGTGCCCAATCTGAAGCCTGCATCGATTCAGCGCATATCTTGATACCTTTTCCATTTCTTCACTACAGGTGCAAATTTAGTTTAACCCTTCATTTGTATATGTATAGATACTCCATTTGGTTTTTTTTTGTTACCTCTCCTTTTGTTTATGTTTGTTTGCTGGCAGGAGTTTTTCTACGAGGAAAGGTGCCCAATCTAAAGCATTCATCGATTCAGCTATGCCCTCACATTGCAAAGGATTGGTTTCACGATGAAGATAAGAAACATGACATTAAAGTGGTTGTTGCAGGATTGTCTGACTGTGGCCAGCTCCGGTCTAAGGGGGCAAGGAGCTGCCTATAGAGTTGTAGGAGAGCTGAGGAGAATGATGAGGCAAGATGTGAGGTTTTTCCTAATAAACTCACTGTTTTTTGGTAAAAAAAAATTCCCTTTTGTTTTTCTTGCTGAAAGATAAGGTTAGAAAAGTCTCTAAATCAGTTCATGTTTTATCACTTTGTATTTTAAGCATATGTTGTGAATAATATGGGATACCCAAATAATATGAGAGATTGATTCTTTAAGTTCTTGCAGTTGCTTTTTTTTGTTTCCAGCTCACTTAGACATCACTACAAGATTAAGAGCATGTGCTCAATATCTCAGTTTCTCCACTTGCGTGTTCATGTTAAAAGACATGGTGATTCTTCTGAATAAAGCTTTCTGGTGAGTCTTCTAATAGCTACTCTAAGAAAAATCCCAAGATGGAGTCACACTGAAAAGGGGTCTTTGCGATTAGTAGCAGCTGTCAGGCAAAACTTGAGAGGGTTGTTAGAGGTGGCGTATTTTGGCTGGCTGGATTATCAAGTTCCAGGCTGTCTAAACATGCATTGTGGTCCTTGTTTTTCTCTCGGCATAGCACAATTTCCAAGGTGGCTAGGTCACTTCCCTTATTGGAACCAATTTATACATCATACAAATAGTAGAAGCAATGTAAAAGAAGCTCAAATTAATCTACATTTTTATCAAATGAGGATTAGTTACATATATAATGTGCTTCCCTTTTCCTCTCTCTTTTAAATGCACGCACGGCACACAAACACGTACGTAGTTTTATGTGGATACTTCTTGAATCACGATTAAGCTGGTTTTAGGAAAATTTGAGGAAGTGACTGCTTAATCTTAATAGTTTTTAAAGAAAAACTGATTTTAATTTTCATACTTGTCTCTATGCTGAGATAAAAATCTAGGTGCAGGCTAAAAAAAATTAATAGTTTTTTGTTTCAAAACTATTAAGATTATATAATATATAATAATAATAATATTTAAATATGGGAGTGCTTTAGGCGTTTCTTGTTTGCAGCGTAATAAGCTTTTGTGGATCTGCTCACACTCACTTGAAGGCGAAAGCATCATAAACGGCAGCAGCAAAAACTTTATAAATAAGATCGAAACTTCCCCAGGAAAAAAAAACCAAACAACAACAAAATTTACCACGTGCATTGCACGTGCAATCCAACTAGTATATATATGTTTGTGTGTGTGTGTGTAATTGTATAATATGTAGGGGAAAAAAAATCTTAATTGGTCCCCGAACCTCAGTATCTTTAATATAAAGATGAGTGCAAGAGGTGTTAGCGCACCGAAAGATCAAAGACCATAGAAAAGTAATGAGTTGATACACAGAGCATGTATATATATATTGATTAAAACATGCACAATAAAGGCGTATCAGGTCCAGAAACAGTTAGATATATATGATTTCTAAGATGCTGAGATATCTGAGTAGAATCAGAAAGAAAGTTACCGGCACTTTTAGTAATTTTTTTAGTTTTAGTATAAATAGTAGCCAAGTTGTTAACAAGTGGGAGATGTTTGGCCTTTTTATTTTCTAGGAGAGTAAGGGGGTGTTTGGTTCAATTTCTAGAAATTATAGGAAATGTTTTCCACCTAAAATATGATTTCCTTGTATTTCTTAAAAAAATTATAGGAAAAGTTTTGAGAAATCAAAAAATACCAATTTTCTTGTTTTTTTACTTTGCTCGTTTGGTTCAAAACAAGAAAATAACTCATAACTTTATAGAAAATAACAAGATTTGGTAGGTTTTTAATTCTCATAACTTTATAGAAAATAACAAGATTTGGTAGGTTTTTAATTAAATATGGTATGTGTCAGATTTCTGATGATTTCCTCTCATTTTGAGAGGAAATTGCTTTTTGTAAAATTTGGTAGGTTTTGATATTTTATAGAAAATATTTCTATAAATTTTTTGTTGAACCAAACACAATTTACAGAAATCTCTGAAAAACTTTTAATTACAAATTTGCCATTGTCAGATGTTTTAAGAAAAGTTTTCTCAAAAAGTGTGCAACCAAACAGTCCCTAAGTAACCATGGGTATTACAATAAAAATATTTCTATAAGAGGTCCTTACCATTGCATCAAAACTCCAATGTTATAAAGGATCAAGTGTCATATTGTTATATTCTAATATGTGCTCGCAAGCTGAGCACCCTTGTTTTTGGTTGAAACACTAGTAAAAATTAATCAACCTAGACGGAATGACCTAGACGGAATTTTTTCCGTCTACGTTGAGGCAACCTAGACAAAAAAAAATGTCTAGGTCATTCTGTCTAGAGTGCCATCAACCTAGTCATTCTGTCTAGAGTGCCATCAACCTAGACAGAACTTCCGTCTAGGTTGGCAACCTTGACGGAAGAACCATACTAGACGGAAATTTTCCGTCTATGATGCATCCTAGACAAAAAATTTTCGTCTAAGATGGTGTGGCCCACGCGCTAAAAAACCGTAGCCTTCATCTAAGATCCGCCACCTCCACTGTGTTCTCTCTCTCTCTCTCTCTCTCTCTCTCTCTCCCCCCTTCCCCCCTCTCCAAATAGGATGGTAATCTATAAAGCTATACACTAACCTAAATAGCTAATTTGGAATAAATTAAATTTTCTTTAGGTTTGCCACCTTATGACTAATATGTGGAACGTGGAGATTCGTGAAGGCCTTCGCCACCATGCCACCCTGCCCCTGCCGTCTAACAGCACTGCTGTTGCACGCCGCCGCCACACACTGCCGCCTTGCATGCCACCACCTCAAATCCGCTTAAGGCATGTTTTGATTACATGGAATATTATAATTTTTTTATTTTTACATTTTATTATTTAATTTTAGAAAATACCCTAAATTGTAACCCTAGAAAGAAATTCAGCTATTAACCCTACTTTGACAATATTTTGCTCTATTTGATCAACACTTATAATCAATTGTAAACCCTAAATTACTATATAATCCCTAATTAAACGATTCTTTTAATAGTAAGCTTAATTTAATCATCATTCAAACAAATGTAGTAATTAATTTTAACCCTAAATTTATTTAATCTTAAATTAAATTGCACTAATTGCTATAATAAAGAAAATATGTGATTGTATAGGTTTGTGATTTGAAAATGTGTGATTTATGAAATAATGTTTTTCTAAAAATAGAGTGATATATAATGCAATATATTATAATAATGTGTTATATATTCAATTTATGTGAATAAAAAGAAAACGTTATCCCTAGACTCTCGTCCAATAATTACATCCAATTATTTGGACTTATAATATAAGATAGAAGACTCATATTTGGGTAGGAGATTAAGTTTTCTACCTGAAAATGATCATTTACTTTATATTATAAGAAGAAAGAATTGGTAATAAAATTTATAATTATTAAATCTATCCTTCTCGAGCGTCAATGTGATTCCTGCTAATCTGTTTGCTGAAATCATACCACTTGTAAACTCGGACTCTGGTAATATAGGCTTTGGGAAGAACAGCGAACATGTATCTTATTTTCGTGTTAATACTATATTAATATGAGTTCATCAAATCTTTTGTAATTACATATTACTCCCAAAAATACAAAAAATTACACAAAAAATTATATATTGGTCCCAATAATATTCAATAGTTTCATATTACTTTCATTTAAGTGAAAATACAAAGGAACTAATACTATTGCATATCAGTCCCCAAAAAAATCAATAGTTGAATATTATTTTCTTAAAAGTGAAAAAACCTAAGAAACTAATGCTAAATTGAATATTTAAGAGACTAATATATTAAAAACCCTTTATATTTGATATATTGTCAAATTTTATACGATTCTAAAATATAATCAATTTAACCTTCAGGCTGAGATATTGGAGGGAGAAAAGGTAGTTTTCGTATGAGAGATAGAGCCGTTGCCGATGACGATGAGATATGAGGATTTTTTTTATATTTATGCACTAAATAGCTTTTTTATCTGTAAGAACACTCTATTTTATTCATCTAGTGATATATGGACCTGGTATTGATAGCGTATTTGTTGTAAATATTCAGATAAGGTAAGTTTTTACTAAAATGGATGTTTGACTAGATTGTTGGATGTGTGTATTGGATTAGATTCGCATAGTGATTATGTGTATTATATTTGTTTGAATGTAGGTCTAAAATAAACAGGAAATGTTTATTGATCTGTATGTACAGGTAAATGTAAAATGTACAAGGAATCGATTATTTTTAAAAAAAATTATTGCTTTCTGTCTAGTTTGGTCAACCTAGATGGAATTCTGTCTAGGTTGACTCAATCAAGACGGAATTGTCGTAGACGGACTTTTCTAGATGAAAATCCGTCTAATTTGTTCAAGCTAGACGGATTTCAGGGCAACCTAGACAATTTTTTCCATGTAGGCTGCCTATTTTTCTACTAGCTAGTGAAACCTGGATTTCTCAGAGGGATATCAAAAGTTTTTTTGTAGTCTGCTTAAATTCATGACCAATAAGTATTGTACCTAGATTGCTTTGATACTATGTTAACAGTTCTGCCGCTACCAAGGACTTTAAGCTCGTGACGTGGTTGAGGGTTACGTTTTATACTTAACAATTTCTAATTGCTTGTTAATGTAATCTAATTTGCTATAATTTATATAACATTCAAATATTCAACGGCTGTGCGTAAGAAAGCAGAACAAATAATATGTAGGAAAACCAACATATTAATTATTAGCTTATGATATGATGATATGCTACGCGTATATACAAGATACCAAATCTCAAAAACCAACTAGCATAGTTTCTCCATGGGTACAGAGAAGCAATTAAATAATATAAAAAAATACAACTTGACCACGCAGTAACTATCATTGAATATTATAAATACACCCAGAAGATTCTAATTGATGTATCACGCCGATATAATCATATATTTTCGCAACTCATAACAACAAGATCGAG